GAGAGAGAGAGAGAGAGAGAGAGAGAGAGAGAGAGAGAGAGAGAGGCCTTGCACCTTTTTTTTTGCGCCGCACTTCGTGCGATGCGCGGTGCGGTGCGCAACGTGCGCCAGACGTGCGCTGAGGCGCGCACCTCAATGCGCCACAACTATGCTGCAAAGACATTATGAACAGGTAAATTTATGCTTCCCATGTGCCCGCAATGCCCCACATACTACCATTTAGAGCGTTTCGGAGGGAGAAGAGACTCGTCCGTGACAAGTAAGGATGTCAGACGAGACCAACGTCAGGAGATACAATGCCAGCAAGGAGAAGAAGAGATTGGCAAAGACAGGGAACTACGATTGAGACAAGCAAGGTACCATGTGCTCGCCAGTGTTGGCCGCGCACCACATCTGGAGTGTCCAAGAGAGAGCAATCACTAAGCCGATCATCGATCGGTGTGTTCTCTAACTCAAATTTTCAAATACTTTTGCGACTCCTCGTCGTCTCAATTCTCTCTTCTCGCTCCTCAGATTCCTCTCCTTCCCGATATCATCAACCACTGTGTTTCCCAAATCAGATTTCCAACCGTCAATTCTCATCTCATCATTTCAAAACTCTCTTCTCCCTCCTCACGCCTCTCTTCTTTCTGTCGTGGGACGTGGATACGAGGCCGAACTCGCTTCCATTCAGTGACAATTTGACAGAGAGCTTCATCCATAAATAAACCTGTGATCCTTGGGAGGTTGGGTACATTGTGTGCTTACGACGTCATATGAACCTGAGATAGGCAGGATGTAACGTATCCAACCGTCGGTTTACCATAAGCCGCAGATTCAAGCTAATAAAAAAATTCCTAAAAATTCCTATGGTGTGATCGTCGGCCTGTATTCCAAACCTCTTCATGACACAATCTCTGGACATCTAGACAAGTCAAGAAACATGAAGACGACATTGGGCTTCCCGACACCACTCTCGAAATGTGAAAAAGACAAAAATGTGGCGGGTGCATCTGGCCATGTTCGAGCGGGAAGTTCATTCTCATTTTGCACATTTCGAGAGTGGTGTGGGGGAATGCCCATTTTCTAGATCAAGTCTAGAATCAGGGACCATGGGAGAGAAACACCAGCAGAGATAACAATAACACAGCGGCGAAAACACGCAATCACAACGAAAAACGCTTCACTCTACTGCACGTGTCCGGTGTTTGGTTAGCTAAAGAAAATCCCTTTTACACCGATCCCAGTCCCTTAAAACTACACCAGATGTTAACCGATCATCACTAACTACCTGAGGGGGCCTCCTTTTTTCCAGAATGCTGACAGTGCCTGACACCATAGACTCCGATTTCCCTGAGCCGGACTGCCTAAAATACGTACGGAACTGACCCTTGTTGGCCCAGCGAGTCCATCTCAGAGATGGTGGTGGTTTCGAGGGCAGGGCAAGGTCTGGTTGCATGTGCATCCATTGGGTGGATTTGAAAAGAGATGTCTGATACTTACCGTGACATGCAACGGTTCAACCGGGAGCTCATAGCCGCATACGTCTTTGAGAAGCCATCTGCTCCAAGCTCCTGTGGGCATGCCATCCAGTCCGATGAAACCATCAACGTCAAATCGACCGTCTTCGCCGAGGAAAGCAGAAAAAACATGGGGGCCAGTGATGTGTCTGTTCACTTGCTACCGAAGTAAGTTGCTACACACATGCATTACTGTGTCTGTTTTCTTATCCCATTCTATCATGGTCTTAGTTCATTGTCATCAATCCAGTGGCGACACGTAAGTTGAATCAATGGCCTCATCCGAGGGAAACAGAACCATATTGAGTCCTTGTTTTCCTTCCGTTGTTTTGACTCATACCTCGGCACGACCCTTTGTCTATCCCAGTTCTTCCCATTTCTAGTTTGTACCAGCTCATGGTCCGAGCAACATGCCCTTTATGAGCAACACAAAGACCCCAGGTCTACACCAAGGGAAGATATCATGTCTCGACCCTCGAGAAGGAAATTGCAATTGGAAGTGAACATCAAAATTAACACGATACGTCAAGGTCACATACAAAAAAAGACAAATACCCGAAATCACTCAGAGTACCACACCATGGACTTTATGGTTAATGTCTATCTTTTTTTTCCTTCTTTTTTCTTCCTTTTTTTCTTCTTTTTTGTCTACCTGCATTTTGCAGTACCTGAAGCTTTGTTACTGGGGGATACACCGATGCCCGTCTATCTCACAGACAAGCCCCGCTTCTGAAAAGTGGCCCAGGTTCATTCTTTTTCATAGCGTGAACATTGGATCGATAGAGGACCTGCTCCTCAGCTCTATTCATTTACTCTAATTCACTGAAAGGTTCTACTTACATGTGCAGCTGCACACCACAGCTTTGCTCACGACAGAGGCAGGGAGAAGGCAATAGCCAGCTGTCGTGATGGAGTTTTTTGCAACCCCTTTGTCCTCATCACCTTTGTCTTGGTTATGACATGCATGCTCCTTTTGCTCCTTTTCCTCCTCCTCCTCCTCCTCCTCCTCGGCACCTGCAATCAGGTGGTCGTGGCCGCACCCAGTCCAGCCCAGCCATACCCGATGGGCTCAGAGCAGGTGCAGTTTCAGAATCCAAGCTCCAAATGGGTGCGCAGCCGGGTGCAAGAATGGCCCAATTACAGGCCCAGGGGCAGGTGGCGTTTCTGACCGGGTCACCGGTAAGAGGACCCTATTCAAAAACGGTCAAATGCATACAGCCCGGGTATGGGCCCAAATACATATAGCTTCCTACCTTGGGCCATTACACCCCAAACTTTTCGCTCAGACCATTGGCCCTGCTTTACTAGCCCACGCAGGCCTCAAGAAAAGAAAACCTGACATGGCAGCAGATAAGGCCCCACCCGACTTCTCCTTAACTTATGCCATTACACACCAATTTTTTCCCTCCGACCATTGGACCTGCTGTACTGGCCCACACAGGCCTCGAGAAAAGAAAACCTGACATGGAAGCAGATAAGGCCACCCGACTTCCCCCAAAACAATGCCTTGTGAGTCGTGACGATAATTATATGGGACTGCAGTCACTGCGCTGATCGTATCCTGTCTTTGTGGGAAAACAGCACGAAAGTCTTTGACTTTAAAAAGGCGATGGTGCATCAATTTCATGCTGCGTGACCTCAGTTTCAGTTTCAATTCGAATTTGTCACAGTTCAGAAGCGCAGTGAGGAGAGAGAGGGAGACAGTAGCTGGAGCCGTTAGCTGCCATGGGTGGGTCCTGTGCGGATGCTGGCCGGTTGGGTACGGTTGTGCTTGTTTTTCGGTTTCCGGGCGGGCCGGGCCCGCGTTAGAAAATCTGAAAAAAAAACAGTTTTGGGCTGGGTGAAGTTGGAGAATTTTTCGAAAGTGGGTCTGGGTTGGGTGTGGTTGGAAAATATTTCGAAGTGTAGGTCTGGGTCACTGGTCCAGGCAGCAAGAAAGACGAGCTTTGTGAGAGCTCCTCCCCCATCTTTTTCCTCCTCGTCGATCCTCTTCTTTCTCTTCGTCCTTGCTTGTTGTCGTCATGTCATGCTTGGCAGCTGTGCCTCCACCCATGAGAAAGGGCAGACAGGACGTGATAAGGAGGAGGAGGAGGAGACGTGAATGGGAAGGAAGAAGAAACAGAAGTGTTTCCATCCTTTTTTTCATTCCAATTTTTATGTACTTTTTATGTTTGTTCTGAACGTTTTCATGTAACTTTCTGTGTGTGTGTGTGTGTGGGCGCGTGAGAGAGAGAGAGAGAGAG